TGTCCCTTGGCAGTCTTGATGCGCTTTCCCATCTCTTTCTGCTTGATCGTCCATTCCTTTGCCCACTGGTTGAGGACTTTTGGCGGGCAACAATTCAAAGCCATATGATGGTTCCATAGGCCGGTGTCATTGTCACACCTCAGGGCCTTGTTGCACGCACGGCAGACCATGTTCTTGCTGCCATCTCTGTTCTTGTGGGTGCATTTGGCTACCCATTCATCATAGCTGAGGATGCGCTCTTGGAACATGTGATCGAGCCATGGCACGGTATCTTTCTCCTTTTCTTCTTCTTGTCCATCTGACTCCTCGTCAGCTGGCTCAGTGCCATTCTCATCCTCTTCAACTTCACCTTCAAACTCTTCTTCTTCTTCGAGTCCCTTGATCTCAGTCACATCAAGGGGATTGATGTTCTCCACGACTGGAGCTGCGAAGGATGGTGCGCTTGTTGCTCCTTCGCCTTGGCTTTCGACGCGCTTCATCACAACATAGTCCTCTGGGTTGAACCCAGCTGCAGTGAGCGCCTTGTCGATGACACTGCGGGCTGGATGGCTGGTAGCCGTCCATGTTTGGCTTTCCCGCTTCATCTCTGCCAACTCTTGAGTGGAGAGATCCTCGATCTTGGGCTCCTTCTCTTTTGGCTTCTCAGGCTTCTTTGCCTGTCCTGGCTTCTTGTAGCCACGATGCCTCTGGGCCTTTTCTCGACCTCGAGGCTGAGGGGCTTCATCAAACTTTCCCTCATCATCTTCATCATCCCAAGCTTGAAGTCGACCAGTACCCTTGGCACGAGCGATCTCATAGTAGTCGAGCTCCTCAGGGTAGTTGGCCTCATAGTCGCGCCAGGATTCGAAACGATCCTGGGCCTTCTCAACGCGATGTTGCTCGGCGCGCTGACGGCTCTTCTCCTTCTTCTTGGCCAATCTTGGGTCCATGCCTGATGCCAAATCAGCTGAGAGCCTTGGCGACTCCGCCGGAACCGAAGCGGCTCGGCGAGGAGTTGGCCTCTTCAGCAAGATCTTGGCTTCTCTCTCCTTTTCTTCATACTGTTCTTTCAGCCTCTTCATCTCGGCCTGTTGCTCCAAGATGGCATCATTGGCTGCTTTGCCTTTGGCTTCGGCCTCTTCGATGGCCTTCTGGATTGTCTCAGACTTCTTCTCATACAGCTCGCGATTGGACTGCATGGTCTCTTGGATTGCTTGGTTCATGACTGCAATCCCAGCAGCTGCAATTCCAGGACGACCTTTTCCAGCTCCTGGCTTCTTTGGCATAGCCTTGACTTCAGTCTCGGCTTTTGCCTTGGCTGCTCCACGAGAAATTGCGGCAGGTGCTGCTTTCTCCATCTCGATGGCAAAGAGGGTGGCGATGTCAGCTGAATACTCAGGCTCGGGTTGATGCTCTTGAGCCATAGAGGTTTCAGATTCCTCAACTGAAGCTACCTTCTTACTTTTACTCTTGCCTTTACCTTTAGAGTCTTTGCCTTTGCCACCTTTGCCTTTACCCTTGGAGTTTTGGTTGTACCAACTACTCTTGTTCCAATCATTCTTATACCAATCGTTCTTGTTCCATGAGTTGTTCCATGACGAGGGATTGGACCATGAAGAACCTTTTCCCTTCTGTTTACCTTTGTCGTTTCCCTTGCCTCCATCTTGACTCTTTCCTTTTCCTTTGCCGCCTTTTGAGCCACCTTTGCCTTTTCCTTTGGCTTTAGCCAGACTTGCAAGTGAAGCTTGCATCTGGCTGGCAGCTGCGGCTAGTGCGTCAACATCCATTGGTGCTGATCCAGTCTTTGCTTCTTTTCGGCTCTCGATGTTCTCGAGGTAGGCCAAAATCTCTGACTTCATGATGGCATAGTCAGTGAGTCTCGAACTCTGGAGATCAAGGTGATCTTGAAGTTTGGCTGGACACATCTGCTGAAGACAACTTCTTGCGATGTCATCATCAAGAGCTTTCTTCTTCCGCTCTTCATACTTTCGCCTGATGTTTTCCCAGGCTTCTATGCTCTCTCTGAGCTTGTCCAATGCACACTGTTGTGGGTGCAGGACCTTCTTCAGCAAAGCTGAGTTCGCTTGTGGGTTCTGTGGATCATACTTGGTGATCAATCGTCTCAATGCTTCTAGGCCAAAGTGTTGACCTCTGGAGGTATTCTTGACAATCTCGAGGGCTTCTCCCTCACATAGTGAGATCAGAGCCTGTCGGGCCTGAGCTGAAACAAGCTCGGCTCCTTCAGGATAATCATCTTCCAGAGATGTCTCATTGATCTCTGTGTCTTGATGCTCTTCGAGGAGCTGAATGCACTTTCCTGCATTCTTGTGACGTGTCTCAATCCAAGTCTTGAACTTGAAGTACCATGAATCCCAGGTACCTATGTGTCCACTGAACTTGTCAGGCTTTGGAATGCCTTTCAACTCTGATCTGTCTCTTACTTCTACGCTAGTGGCTATGTTCCTTGTGATTGCCGTTTGTTGTGTATACGCTTCTGCCATTGCTCGTTGCAATTGGCTCTGCCCCTGTGCTAGGGCTTGCATCATCTGTGCAAATTGTTGTGCCATGTCTGTGGCTTGTGGTGCCTGTGCTCCTGGCTGTTGCGCCATGTTGACTTGCTAGCCAGGGATTGAAGCAATCCGGCTTTCCTGCAAGTGATGCTTGTTTTGTGGATCTCTGGCGCCAGAGCCGATGCGGCTCGGCGACCTTCGATTCGCAGACGGTAGCCGGGTCTTAGAACCGCGGCTCCGCTACCATGAACGGAGAATTTAAGCTCTTAAACTCTGTGACCCCAAGTCACTGTCCCAAAGGTTGTTGTAGAAGCTTAGGCACACTTTTAGCTCAAACTCGAACAAACGGATTGAACAAACGGCTGCAGTGAAACATACATCTATACAAGCTATGTCATGTACATGTAACTGGTGCTACATCTGATCACCTTCGCAGTGGACAACACTCACCAAATTGCAAAATCTTGACCCCACTTTGAAAGGAAGTCTTTTGACCTACCCACGCCCGCTGGTCTTCAGAAAGCAGTCCAAGCGCGGTGAAACAGGTTCTGCCACCATGCGTCAGGTCGTCAGCGGCTGTTCCACCGGCATAGATGGTTGGATGCTGCACAGCGATAGTTCACAAAGAAGTGTCGCCAAAACCAAGAACACTCTGAAAGTGCACCTCCAGGTGGATCTCCTCTTGAACTCTACCTCCACTCCGTTCAGAAGTCACCTCGTAGTTCCGACGAGGACCATATTTTTTCACATGTGACATGCAGCAGAGGATCTCCTGGATCCACCCAAGAAGCGAATCGCAAAAACATCAAGAGTTGGCCAAACAATCAAGAGTTGGCCATCTTTCTCTTTGCTGGAGGCCCGGCCCCCCCCGCCTCCCACACCTCTGCTCACAGCCTCACCGCAGAAAAAGGGCGGGCGTTCTCCAAGGCGTTCGTTCCCCAAAAGGTCGGAGGCGAAGCAGAGCGAAGGATCGGAGCTGGATGAACACCTCCAGCTTTGATATACTTGTATAAACATAGTACTACTTGGGTCATCTTGGGTCTATCTTACCAAGATAAGTGTGAATGATGATGGTTGCAGGTCTTGTTGAAAAATAAGACCTGAATTCATTCCTAGAAAAACGGCTTCACCGTTCGCCGTGGCGTTTTTCACCAAGCCGCTCAGCTCACCCGCAGACCTGTCGGTCCCAGACCTCGTGGTGGGCACCGAAGCAGTAAGCAGCTCGCACGAACCGGCGCGAACGCACTGAACAACGAAACGAAGCTTCCTTCTCACAGTTCGTTTCACAATCTTCTCACTACAAGACACGGAAAGTTCTGCATTACATGACCAAACCACACATCGGCTGTAACACATGCTGCTCCTTCTCTGTTTCTCTGTCTCTTTCTCTCTCTCCGCATAGCTCTCTGATCCTTTTGGTGAAAAGGTGATGTTGCCAGGGAGCCAGCCAGAGGTGCTGATCTCGTGCAGCTCAGGTGGCGCTTATCACCTGCCGCACATGTTCGGAGGCCATGCATTGCTTCATCCAACATCTCAAGATCCACAGTATCATCCAACTTGCACATGAGATGGACATGACATGGAGATCTCAACTGCACATTCAACCGCGCCTGCATTGAGGTCACAACTTCGACACTTCAGGCGCAAAGAATTTTGCAGGCGAGTCTGAACCCCCAAACCTCCTGTGTGAAACGTGTTTGGCACCTTTTTTGGGTGCAACTGTGGGTGGCTACAACTTTATCAGGTCCTGTGAAACCATCTGATATCTAGACCTCAGAGCTCGATGAAAGCCTTTACCAGGATCCAAGGAAAGGGTTGAACCGCTCAAACCGCGGTAAATCCCCTGCTCAATAGAGGCCTTTCAACAATTCCATCCCAAAAAGGCACTGCACAGGGGCAAGGCTCCACAATCTCTGGCTTCGCCGCACTAAAAAGCCACTTCCACCATCTCCATTTCACCCGCGATGCTCCCGTCGGTCCCGTCGGGAGCATCGGAGTCCACCTCAACAAAAGACATCAGACTCCGAGACCAGACTCGTTGGTGTCGAACAAAACGGAAAAAACCGGTCATCTCGGTCAGTTCTGAGATGCAAACCAGGAAAGATAGACCAACCAAGTTCTATGCGTGTTTCTTTTTGTTTTTCAAAGTTCTGAGATGCAAACCAGGAAAGACCCAAACCAAGTTTCATCGATGGTTTGGGGGTACATCTCAAACCAGGAAAAAGAGACCAAAATGATCCAAAAGGAAGCTTCATCGATGTTTTTTCGTGGTTTTTCGAAGGGTGGCGGAAGTCATTCTGCGAGTTTTACATCATGCAGATGCAGCTGAAGAAATCGGTACGAGCAGCGTGACACACACAATACAGTGGGTTGAGAGTAGATGGCACGGGCTACCCCAACTTTGGTGGCTTATATGGAGCCCCCTCAAAAAATAACAGTCATCTTGGGATGCCAGTGCCATGTCTCACCTCTGAAACCACCTAAAAAACAAAAACAAATACATCAGAATACTCATCGTCCAGCCTCTCCCACAAAGTGGCGCACTCCCAGGGAGTGGCTCCAGTGGGGCACGAGCTCAGCACTGTCATGTACCAAGCGATCGTCCTTCTCATCATTCGCGGCGGCGGCCACGGAATCCTCACATTCATGTGTCCGGGCTGTTTTAATCACTAGGATTGAAACCCAAGCAGTTCAGGACATGATTTGCCAAAAAATGTGTCCTCATACCGGTGCATGCGCGATGCAATCTCTGCCACTTGGCTCTGTTGCAAACCTGCTGATGAATGTGGTGCAAATGGCAGAGCCAACACTGTGCGCAAGCCCTTAAGAACCTTGGCTGGAGTCCAAGCTCAGAACATTCTTGTCAACCGAAGCCCTATATTACTATGTACCCGTTTTAGATATATACATGTGTTGGGGTTCGTAAATGTGCTGAATCCTATAGTAACTCTCTCCAAAACTGCTTGAGTCTTCCCTTACTTCACACATCAAAGAGCTCTTGGTTTCCTTATCTCTTTGTCTCTAAAAGAAATGACAATGAACCACAGCCCGAGAAGGAAAATCACAAAAAAAGGTCTGGTAAAGGAAGAAACCTGCTGTGCGTGAGCAAGACCTCCGGGAATTGGCGCAGTGATGGGGCTTCTCTTCATCAAGGTGTCAATGCTCGGAAAGTCAAAATTGCTGTCGGCAATGACCGGCACCATTTCCAAGGTCCGCTGGGAAGGAGCGCAATATGCAGCATGAAGCAGGAGCTTGGCAAAGTCTTTATCCCGGAAGATGCCGCGGAAAAGCAACACCACCAGGTAGTAGGCAAATGGCCGACAAGTTGCCATTTGCTGAATCCCCTGGATCACTTCACACTCGACACTCAGCTGCACCTGGAGTAATGACTGGAAGACCTCGCAGGCGGACAGAAACTCTGCCTCCATCAAGGAGCTGAGAATGAGAATGCGAGGCCGTGAGACCTTAATCGAAGCTCTCTCACTCGGACGCCGAGAAGGAAATAGGCCGCAAAGACTCAGCAGGTCCACGACCACCACTTCCCGGTCACCAACCTTGGGCAAAAGTGGCTGCATGGCTGTATGGCTTGCATAACTATGTGGGTGTGGGACCTTCGTTGACCTACCTGGAAGGTCAAGCTGTTGGGGGCTTCAGGTTGTGACTCATCCCCGTGTCACTTCACACATGGGAAGAGCCGCCCCAAAGGTCATAGGCCACTAGGCGGCCGCTAGGCCCCGCTAGGCTGCTGCGCTACACAAACCAACACGCAAGCATACAGCTGCATGCACATAGCCCTACTAAGCCCCACACCGGACCAAATCGTGGCATCTTGAGAGAAGTCAATTCATGCTGCAGCCACGCATACGCTGCGTTCAAATCATCGATCTCCACCCTATAGTTTGAGAGCTGAGCCTTCTGGTGAGGCGTCCAAAGTTCTGGGATCTGCTTCTGTGCCTCATCGGAGAGTATCTCAAAGCCATCACAGACCAATGGCACGGTCGTGATGCTATTCTTCCATGCCGTGACGATTTCGCCAGCACACCAACTCCTTGACAACAGCTCTGGGGTCAACACAACTACTAGATTCTTGACCGATGTCCTGACAATGTCGAAGAGCAAGTCAAGGTTTTCCAACTGGTCACTGTCCAAGAACACGCGAGTGGATGAGTGTTGAGCAATCAGGATCTTGATCAAGCGGCACAGGCTTCCCGCACCAGCCTTGTGATGGCATAGGAAAATACCATAGAGCTGCTCTTTTGGCCGAAGATGCTTCACTGCAAATTTGACAAAGCTTAGCAAAGCCACAAGCATGATTGCAAGAACTGGGACACAAAGAAGCCAACCTAGCATTGCCTCAGTCTGTGTCTTGTCTGTCAGTAGCAAGGGGCCAGCACTGAGCAGAATCACGAGGAGAAGGTCAGTCAAGAGCATATCAACCAAATTGGCCAATTCAGTACGCCATGGGCATGCGTATACCTCCAGATTCTGGACAGCAATCAAGATGATGCCCATGAGAGGCACTTGAAGCTCAGGAACGCCCACCAGCACTGTAGGCAGAAGAGCCACCAAGCCATTGCGATAGAGAAGAACCAAGCCGTAGTAGTAAGCCTCAGGTTTGAATCGATGGAAGAGGAAGCGGTACCGAGCGGAAAAGCGAAGACCCTGGCCACTGGCAATGTGCGATGGATACGTGTAGATGAGATAGCTCGCCAACACCAGCGCTGCCACAGGCTGAGTCACAACTCCTCAGGCATCTTAATCATTGCTAAATGTTCTGCAAACTGCATCCCGCCCGAACACGCCAAAACCTGCAAAATGCTACGACATTGATCCCTAAAACGTGTTCGACTTTGAAGTCAGAGTTCCTACCAGTGCAAGTCCAGCAAAAATGGCGTGATCTGCTGACTCATAGCAAATGATGCCCGGGTGCGCCAACATTGAGCTGCTTCCATTTGGATTGGACACACACTGAAAAGGAATCAGTGTCGTGCGGGTGATCGACAGGAAGAAAGCAAAGATCAACAACCCACACTGGTTCATGACGGTGTTGAATGGCTTCGGCCGCCCGCGCACCTTGCTTACGATCCAACTGCACACCAGAAGAGCGCAAGCAACCGGACACATGAGCAAGCGGTTGACAAAGAAGAGTACGGGACTGTCTGTTCCAAAGAAACAAGAAGTTCGCACGAAGTGGAAGTCGAACATGAGGATCTTCGTCAGGTTGATCAGGGTCTTTACCGGTTCATGCCATTGGATCGATAGTTCTCGGATGGACCCCAAAGCCTGAATTGACATGAGGAGCTGGCCGCTCACTGAGGCTGCTGTCACGGTGTTCAAACCTCACGGTGTTCATTCAGTTTAAGCAGAGACACCACCCGAAATTCGTCGCGTTCGTTGGTGAATGGTAGAGTCCGGAAAAAAATTCCACGAAAAGAAAACCATTAGATGTTACGTGTATAGAGAGAGAGAGAGAGACAGGTATATATTTTGTGTCAAGGACTGAAAGTTAGAACGCCGTGCGGTTTTCCAAATTTTCCACAATATCAGTTAGAATGCCGTACTGAAGGGGCACAATGTTCAAGTAGTGGAAAAAACAGAACAACATGAGAAAAACTTGTTTATTGTGTGCTGCTTTGTGATGCATTCTACACAATGCTGTGATGATTCTGGGCTGATTCTAGGCAGTGTCCAATGGCCTGCAACATTTAAACAAATAACATTGACAAAGACACTGCAAACTCCCAATTGGAATGCTTTCTCCAGGTCGGTCATGGATGGATAGAGATGGATGGAAACGGGTGGGTGGGTATTTTTTTGGATGGACATGGATGGAAAGGGCGGGGTGGGTGGATGGTCATTGATGGATGGATGGATGGATATGGATGGATGGATGGATGGATGGATGGATGGATGGATGGATGGATGGATATGGATGGATGGATAGAGATGGATGGAGATGGATGGATGGATGGATGGATGGATGGAAAGAGTGGGTGGTTTGTAAACAATGCATACATACAGCATCTGGTGTCTCAACACTTGTATCCATCCTTTGACAAGTCATGGTTCAGGTTTTATCCTGTTTGCATGTTCCATTTGCTTTGCTCTGACAAGTCTGAGCCATTGGCGAGCCGGCGATGAACTCATATCAACACATACACGCTGCTCAGCAACTTTGGCGCGGCCCCCATACAGCATTCTATCTGTTTGGTCTATCGGAAGGGTCGCCTTTTTGTGGGCGCAAGATGGTGCAACCGCATTCTATCCGCGCTGTCGCATTTCAAACTTTCAGTCCTGGACTATATATTGCGAACTTTTTCCTCTCGATCATGCCATAGGCTTGTCTATGCATTCCTTCTAGTTCTTAATCCTCTATGAAGCCTCCATTGACAATCAATCCACAATGAAACCTCTTCGTGTAACTTCTTAACATATCTACCTGGTGTTCATCTTTCTCTTTCCTGTCGAGGATGCGCTCAATTTCCATCATCCTCGCATCACATTCACTCACTTTGCCTGCGATGGATCTTCTGTGTACTTCTAGCAGTCTTTCCTTCACGTGTTTCCAATTGCCCTTCTGGTGCTCATTCTTACCTTGCTTGTCCTTTCCTTTGGCACCCTGAACTCTGTCAACGTCCATAGGCATGGGTCCTTTATAATCTGCACAGCTACTTGCAACCGTCGAAGTAGCCCACATCTGTTGAGAACGGTCCCATTGCAACACTTGTTCCCTCAAAGCTTGGTATTGAACATTGTCACCAATTGTCAAATTCAAGTAAAATGTGAGCTGTCCACCCACACATCTCAAAAGAATTGTATAACTCTTCTTGAATTGCTGTCCCTGACTTGACCGTCTCCTCAAATACCTCTTCCAGAATGAGAGAAGTTGAGGTTGTAGAGCAGTGTTCATAGAAAACGCTGGCCATGTAGTGGCTGCTCCCACAAGCGCTGACCCCCTGGCTTTTGAAATAGGCTTCACAGCTCTGTTCAAGCTCCTGCAGGCATCAAATCCATTGGAGTCCTCCACAGCTGTAACCAACTGTAGTGCCTAGTGATCCATGCAGCTTGATGCACCTGGTCTTCTCTTCTTTGTCTGCCAAGTCAATATCGAAGCTGTCATTTGGCTTGTCATGAATTTCTTTCAAATACTTCATGTACGCCTCATCCACTGAACGAACTCGTTGAACGCTTTGATCTCTTCCTCCTGGGACTTGTGCTCAAATAAGCTAGGCTTTGTGATGAGCTTTGACCAATCTGCCGTGTTTGCCTTCATGTCTTCGACTGCTTTCTTCACTGCCTCTGCTGCAAGCGTGCTTCATGCAAGTTGTTCCAGGATCTCCCTTATCTCCCAAAACAATATTGTCCAACTAACACAGCGTTCGGTGTACAGTGTGCAGTTCCCAGCACTTTGCCAACAGGTCAGCAGTTTAGGTTCAAAGGCCCCAAATCTATGGCTCAGACGCTCCGGGATCCCAGTGACCTAGGGGCTTTACTCTGGAGCTCAAAGGGGCTTTCCCTTATCCTTGCTCCGCTAACATACGAACACTTTTTCCTCTCAATCCAAAAGCAGGGTGCACGTGAAAACTCTTTGACATGCAGTCTGATCTACCACGCTAATTACTCACATATATACATATAACATAATAACATATGCAACTATATACTTTGTTTTTCACGGGACAAGCTTCTATTCAGGATCATGTAGAATTCAAATACGGTATATAAGTGTGAAGAATTCGACCGTTCTGTCCCAGCGGCTCACTTGGCTTGGGTCCCAGTGTGAACGACTGATGAGGAACAAGCCACAAAGGAACAACATAACCCCCAGAATGAGCGGCAATGTATCTCCATCTTCACAATGCTCACATGCCCCGATGCCACGAGGGTAATGGCTGGCCTGGCAGTTGTTGCAAGCTTGTCCCTCTCTGCCATCCGAACATCCTCCCAGGGGTCCTGGAGGGCACTCCAGGTCATCTCGGCAGCGTAAGACTGAGAAGTCACAATGTGAAGCATTGGGGTCGGCCCACAAGCCACCCTGCTGTTGTGGAGGCCCCAAACCCTGAGGACAATGCAGTCCCACTGGGCATGGTAAGCAACCTCTCTCCTCGCACATGAAGGAATGCTCCGCACACAGGCAGTCAGACACGGCCGTGGAGCCTGTCTCTGGAGTAATCTGCCCTTTCCCGCAAGGGATACATTGAGAGCTCCCACCTAAAGGCATGTAGAAACCTGACACACACCTGCTGCAAATTTCCATTCCTTCCTGCGGCCCCTCAGTGCCAGGTGGACAGGGAGTGCGTTGCACAGAGCCGGCATCCAAGGCGAAGCTACCTTTGGGGCAAGGAGTGCAGTTCATCATACCAATCTCCGAAGCAAAGGTACCTCTCGGGCAAGACATCAACGAAGCGGTCGCTCCTCCCACACACATCGTGCCTTTCGGACACTTCCTGCACTGTCTCGACTGGTCTTCCCAGTAGAAACCGGGGTCGCAAGAGTAGAGCTCCTGTGGAGGCATGCTGCGCACCCCTCCATCCATCCAGATTGGCTGGTTGTGAAAGGTGAAACTAAAAGTGAGGGAACTGAAGGAGGCGATGGCAATGGCTCTGCCATCCTTGGATTTGCCGCTGTCGGAAGCCTGGAAAAAATATATTCATCCGGTTAGAGGATTTACCCAGTTTGGGAAAACAAAACATACCCTGATCCGCAAAACCAAGCATCCGACTGGATGTTCATGAGTTCGTAGGTTCCGAAGCGGTCACCATTCTCATTAAAGCTCACCTCGCCCGAGGCACCCGTGAAGCGCACGCGGCGCATTTGTTCTAAAAGAACCTGGCCCTTGATTGCACTGGGATCCATTTCAGCAAGCAACTGGTTGATGGCAATGATGAAGGTGTAGACTGCATCGAAGTTAAAGGCTTCACTCGGACCCAAGTTAGAAGCTTCACCTGGCAAGGAGCGGAATTGTGAACTGCCACCGTACCATAGATGACCTTCTCAAAACAGGAACCCTTCGCAGGAAAGTTCAGGCCCCACGGTCTGCAAAGTTTGTACACGCAGGCCCCGCCGCGCCGAGACTAAGTGGTATGGTTTTGGGGGCGCAACTTGCAACGGACGTGCTGCAGTGCCGACGCACTAGCTCTGGTTCCGTATGAAGTACCCGATACAAAACACAGCACCAGGTGCGCGCGCGGACGAACGCGCAGACCGGACGCTCTCTGTGAGCCAGACCAGCCAGCTGGAAGGCCACTTGAAGGTCTGAACCACTGTCACTGAGAAAAGTAAAGAAAGTACAGCATGCAAGTACATCAAAACATCACCCAACTATGGACACATGGACGCATTGATGGATGTGGTGCATGTTACGCAAATGTAAGGCAGCAGTATCCTTTTTGGATCAACTCCTATGGCCTCCAGCTGCTTGGGAACAGCATGCAAATGAAAAACGATTTTTTGGCACGCCCTGCCCCCTTCCCTGCATCACGGTTGCATTTATGGCTACAAGACAACAAACCCGGAGGAGAACGGCGCGGGAAACTGCGGCCCGCACAGACAGTGCTGAGAAATGGGCCGACAACACAGACGCCCGCAGGACGCACAGTTACAAGGCCCGCGCTCGGACACACGCTCGACCGGGACAAGGCCCGCGCTCGGCCGCACAAGGCGGAGAAGAAAGGGCCCGGCGATGCCGCGGCGATGCCCCAAAAATGCATGTCTGCATCTATCTTGTCTATGTCTATGCGCAGATGCAGATGCAGTATGCAGGAAAATTACGTGTACGGCATAAGTTATAAGTATGTATATATATATATATTGCTCCGGCTGGGTCCCTCCCATACGGCGGTATGTTCCTGGGCAACAATCTCCGTAAACACAGCAACAAAATCCTCAAAGTTCAGTCGGAACCCAATCGACCAAAGCAGAAACCAATTCGGTTCATATCACTGCGCTAGTACTGGTTGATGCTTTTTTCCAAGCAAATTCAGCCATTCACCTTCAGTGAAGAGCTCGTTCCCCAACAGGCCCACGGGCGCCCGCATCTGGTCTGTGCCGTAGATGTCTTGTGTTCCGAGCAGTGACCAAAGCCGCTGTAAGTCTGGAAACTTGGCACCTTTGCCAGAGGGCAGAAAGTACATGAAACCGACTGTCCTTTTGGCAGCAATGAAAGCTGCCATGGTCTCTGACCCCAGCACTTGCCAAGCTGGGCTCAAGATCTCCTCCTCATCGAGGATGTCAAGGAGGGGTGCAGCCAAGTGCCAGCCCACAAGCAGTACGACAAAGCGAGAGCCGATCTGTTTGAGGAGCCTTACTGAAGTACGGGCCTCTTCTGCAACAAAGTCTTGCTGCGTGTCACGGAGGGTTTGGCCCTGCACGCGGTCTTGCTGACCGTCAACCCGGGCAAGCTCCTTGAGTGCATCAAAAAGGCCTTGTCCATAGCCCTCGGCTGAATAGAGACAAGCTGCGATTGGAACCTCGAAATGTCTAATCCAATGCCACAAGGCACGTGCCTGGATGGTATCGGGCGGCACAGTTCGAAGAAAGAAGGGGTAAGAGTCCTTGTTGGACAATGCAGGGCTGGTTGCACAGCATGATACTTGGGGAATCTGCCGCACAGCAGCGACAGTGGCAATTGGCATTGAGACTGATGAATACGCTGGGCCGATCAATCCAATGACCGGTTTGGCACCTGTCTCACCCGACATCAAGTCCAAGGCTGCAGCCATTCCCACTTCCTGCGTTCCTTGCGTAGCTTCCAAGTGCAAACTGATGGCTCCAAAGCTTGCATTGGGATGCACTCCACCAGGGATGGTGACGATGGGGGGACCTAGCCGAGCAGCCAACGAAGCATTCCAGTTCTTTTGGTAGTCAATGAAAGCAGCTGCGGGCACTGCCAAGTTTCTTCCCCCGACACCAAGAGCTCCAAGCGCGATCTCAACACAAGGCGCAACGCAACAGAAGCATCTGGGCGACAAAAGTGCCAGCAGAAGCGCCGCCTTCAAAACATTGGCGCACCCTGCCAGCCAAGCCATGCGCACGGCCCAAGACACGAATTGGCCGAGTACTCTGGCTGCAAAAATGGTCATGTTTGGTATTATCATGAAAATGCCAAATGTTGCAACAATGTGTTGATCCACTTGGAACAGCCACTCAAGTAGAAATTGCATGAAGGTTTTGTAGCTCGCACCAGGAAAGACCTAGGACATCTGGAAACAGCACCGGACAAGAAGCAACAGGTCTCAAAAACACTGGAAGTCCCAAACAACTTTGACATGACTACGATTCGGTTTGAGACTGCAGAAATGTCAATGAGCAGATTTCTTGGAACTTGGTGTCACATACATCCACTGGGCGCAGCCTCTGTGGGCCAGTCAGGGCTCGAAAAAATGAAGCTCTTCTTCAGCCTTGGATGCGGCCGAACTCCTACAACCCTGAGAGAAGTCACGCGCGAACACACATGTGAGACCATACATACGAGAGCACACACGGGAGAGCACCCCCTAAGACCACATTTTTGAGCAAACGAACGACTGGGAGCACAGACCACGGGTAGTATGAAAGAGAGCACATATGAAAGTACTCACATGACAGCACAGACATATGAGCAACGAACTGCAAGGGCGCAGTGACCCAACAACAAGTAAAAGGGGCTGCTACTTTTCTAGCTCACAGCAACTTGGTCCTTCAAGGGGCTACATCATGTAGCAACGGTACATCATGCATGTCATGGGGCATGGAATACGCTATATACTCTGACACCCCTCCACAGCCTGAGTCGGTAGTCTCTAGGCTGCCATGTGAAACCTAACCGCCACACTGTCCACAAGCAGTGTATTGTGCCAAAACGGCATGGCTACGTGAAACTTTTCTCGCTCGATTTCCTCTGTGTTGTGCTGCTGGCACCATACCACAACTTCTCTTGTGATACCTCTCTCCATTATCACATACACCCGGTCTTGACAAAGATCTGCGAGCGCCTGTGATGTTCTCAATCTTGGACCCCCTCCATGACTGGCAGCTCCTGGTCTTGCTGCTACTTGCTCTGGGGGATCAGTTTGCGTGGAAGTGTTGCTATTGGTCTTCACAGTGCCTTTGCGACACCTCCGTCCACACATAGAGATGGCTCCCCAGACAATGGCAATCAATGCCAACAAATGCACAAGGACCATGTAGATTAGGAGGTTCCAACCATGTCGTTCTTCCTCTTCTTGAGCCTTCACGCCGGTTAGGCAACACAGCAAACACGCCACCACCAAGGCCCTTCTGCATAGTGGCATGACGCTAAGTAAGTCGCTGATGCGTCGGCCGCTCAAGCTTTTGGCGCCGAGGTCGGCCCAATTCACTTCTGCGCCAACCTTCCGGATTCGGAATTGCGCAGCTCTCACTTTCTCCTGCAGCCACAACTCCTTGATGTCTAGGTGCTTCAGCTTGCCTATGCCGCTGCGCGACGCTATCCCCTTTGCGGCTGTTGAGTCTGTGTCCAGAATTAGAGACAGGCTCTCATACCCAAGACCTCCCCTGTCTGTTTTGACAACAGCCCGGCGGCTCCTTGTCGCGTCATTGAGTAAAACTCTGCTTCTCCACTGGAAAAAGCTACTACTGTCTGACGGGCGCAGCTCATTTCAATGAGATGCGCGCCAAACCTTTTCTGCGTACGCAGACATTGAGCGACGCGTTGCCTTGTCTGCCGCCCAATCCGAATCGGTAAATATCACAATTTCCGATGGAGTGTCTTGTAGCTCGAAGAGCCATACCTCGGATGGATACTTGGCAAGGTATCGTCCAAGCCTACGAAACCTCATCATGTGCAACCTGGTTGGCTTTGCCATACCTGAGCCTGAGCTTATCTTGCTCATGGCATATTGAATCGAAGGTCTGTCCAAAAACAAGTATAGCGCCGTGCCGGCAAGCCTTCGAAACTCAGTTGCTTCTTCTGGAGATAACTCTTTTGTTAACTGAGCGATCTCCCTTTCCTGTGTCCTTGGAACTTGGAGTGTCAACTCCTTCTGCATTGGCTAAGCCTAGCTCAGATACCAAAATGTCAACGTACTTGAAAGCCTCCTTTGTCACCTTGTTCTCCACGAACTCGCCCCATTGCTTTGAGGCTTCTCTGGTCCCATTCATTGCTTTCAACAGATACCAGACATGCCCGTCATAGACGTCTTCCGGAGGAATAACAGCAATCTTTCCAGTATTGAAAGCATGGAAGAACGCCACCCTCACGCCGTAACGACCGATGAGCTTTTGGCCGCGCGGTTGACCTTTGCGAGCAGTCGCAGCTGATGACACCACCATCCGATGCCCCTTCAGCGGAGGCGTTCCTGAGTGGACTCCATCCACATCATCTGGAAGTGCTTTCCACCCATCAACCTTCACGACCTTGAGGCCCCTTTTGCCGTGCCTCTTCCCAGGTGATGTCAGTCTTCACCTGATGTTCCTCCATCTTGTCCAGCTCCCTGCCTCTGGCCTTCTTGACCTTTGCCAATGGCAACTGAACTCCGGTTCTTTCGTCATATGCTGCAGTAACTTTTCCCCACTCAGGATATGCAGCAATTGAATACACTGTGTCCAGCGCAGTGTCGGAAGACCACCGACCACTTCTGCCTCTGGTTCCTGGAGTTGAGCCAGGTCTTCGAGCGGGAGTTCTGCCGCTCTCTTTTCTCCTTGCTTCGATGTCTTTTTCTCCTTCTTTTGCCCCGAGGTTCCTGGAGGACGCTGCACGCTTGACACCGGACGAATCTGCGGCGCTACCCGCTGGATCCAGTTGGCCTGCGGGGCTACCCGCTTGGCCGGCGGTGCTACCCGCACTTCCTGACGATGGAGCGGAGTTGCCCGCTTCCACATCAGGAATTTCCTGGACATCTGCCTGTACCAAGGGTTCTTGCTTTTCTTTGGCCAATTGATCTTCATCAAATCTCTTCTTGCACTCTGCCGAATGTCTCTTCGGATCATCCAAGGTTGAAAAACACCCTGGGCAACCTGGAGTTTGCCCGTACTTGATTTGCCTGTCCAATGTGATGTATAGTTCACCCTTCGGCTGCCAAGGAACTCCTTTCACGCTGTCTAGCTTTTCCTTGGACCATCGCAGTCTCTCAGGGCCGTCTCCACAAAGACCTGCATCGCCTGATTCCATTCTCGGTGCCTAGGTAGTGTTCGTCTGAATTGAGCGACTTGCCCAACCACACACCGACTGCACTCTGAGAATCTACTTTTCCTTTCTTGTCGTCGGCAAGCTTGAAGTGTGAGACTTCTCCAAACTCTGTGACTTCTCCCTTGTATTCTCGACCTCGCAATCGTTGGTATGGCGTTTTGCCATCTGCTTTGACAAGAAATCTGGTCAAGAGCCAGGCTGCGTGTCTTACAGCCCAAGGATATACCAGACCGTTTGGCTTGACCTTATAGCTCGGGTATCTTGTTTCAAAGGCATGAACTATGGTTCTGACCTGTCTTGACACCTCCAGAATCGACCGTTCCACTGCACCATTTGAGGCATGTGAGTCACGTGGCGCAGTCTGGATCTGTGCTTCTTTGTTCCACTGCTTGGCAGCAGCGTCTGCCACCGCTCTGATGGCGGGTTCACCATCAGTGTGAAGCAAAACTTTCTGTCTTCCTGTGAAACGTAGTGCCTCCACCACAACATTGATGGCATGTGGGTTGACACCTTTTGCAACTACACTTGCAAAAATGCATCCCGTCCTTTCATCGATGACGACCAGGACTGGGATATTACTTTCATCTTCACCTTGGGGTTCCTGAAGGTCTTGGACCTTTGGGTCATCTTTATCACCTAGGTCCAAAACTCTACCTCAGCCTTTGCTCGACGCGGGTGGGCGTCCTCATGCACCTTTCCTGCCATACAGTGCTCACACCAGTTTCTCAGTGGCACATGGGTCAGCATGTGGCTGTCATATTCGGCCTTTGAAACTGTATCTGGGATCTTCTTGGTTTCGGGGGGTCTTGAGACTTCTGAAACTTCAGGCGGTGGTTCACCCAAGGCTGGAAGTTCTCTGGGCTCATCCTCAAAGACTGGGTCTCCATGTCCATTCGCTGGATAGATAGGCGCCTCTGCCTCATCATCCTGCCGCAATCCTGCCCGGCTGGAATGGCTTTCTTCACCACTTTTGCTGCTGCAATCATCTGGCTGGTGGGACCACCCAAGCAACCTCGCTCAGCGGGGCTGCCCGCTTGAGCTTGCCTAGCAGCACCACCCACTGGATGTGCAGCTATGGGTTCAGCGGGGCTGCCCGCATGCTGGCTTTTGCATCCAGAAACTGGAAGCCAGTAAACACCTCTTTTCTTCACCAATGGGATTTTGCGGGATTTCTCAACCGCATCTTGGATCAGGTGGGCATGTTTTGAAACAATCATGCACTGAACGTCTGAAACAATCATGCACTGAACGTCTGGACCAATCACCGTCCAGGTTCCCTTAAGCGCTGCCTGTCCGGCACTCATCACTGAAAAACTACTTTGTCCGACTCTGCATAGTCTATGTTGAAAATGCCACCTTCCGTTGATATGGTGCTTCTCTTCAGGATGCCCGTGTCTAATGGTTCACCAGTTACTGCAACCAACCCAGTGGTTGAAGTAGAACTTAACTTGGTTGCAAATTGGTCAAAACCAATCTTAAACAGATGCATCCCCGCCCCAGTGTCACCTCCTGCTGTCCTGCAATGCTTGCTGCAATGAACGTAGTCTCCTGGGTCGGCGTTGCAGTCATTGGTTCAGGTTCTTCAGATGGCGCAGCTGCATTTGGGGCGCGGTTCTTCCCGCTACCTTTTGCCTTTTGCTTGTCATCTGCGGCCTTCTTCCTACATTCAGACTTCACATGACCCTTTTTCTTGCAATAAAAACATTCCTTCTCAGCATTGGGGTTGGTTTTGGGCGCGTCTTTGCCCTTACCATCTTTGGTAGAAGGCTTACCCCCTGTTGATCCCTTTTGGTCTCCTTTACCACCCTTCTTGCCACCTTTGCCCTTACCCTTGGGCAATGCACAAATATCCATTGGCGCTGGCATTTGTTGCAAGACCCG